TACATTTTATAACACTTGGAAAATAATGGCATTTCACAAACCAATAAAAATCGAGTGGTCCATGAACCTCAGAAAACCCAGGCTGACAACAGAAGACAACACGCTTTTAAACCTTTTGAAAAATGCTTGTCGCCGTTTAGTCCGTAGCTGTTGTAGAAGTTATTGCCCCAGCCATTGCGTCGTGTTGAGCCATGTTCGTGAGCGTCGGAGCCGTGCGCATCGTTGTGGTAACCCTTGCCATGCTTACCCCAGCCAGATGCTTCGTGGGCGTCTGCAAAGGGAATTATTGGCCGTCAATATGCATGCATCAACGGTCTATCACAGGAAACGGAGACTTGCCTGATTCGTGGTTATTGAGTGCGTGATGCAATCGGTCAGCTCCAAATTTGCGTCCATGTTTTTCGTCGGTGTAGAATTGCTCAACGTGATATTCAGGCTGCTTGTACTGATAGTCAAAGAAACCAAAAGTTTTCGCTTTCACATCTGAAAATGAGCAGAAAATTAGGAAAAGCGGAATACCCTTTTATGTGTACGGATTTGATCAAAAGCAAAACCTTTTCCGAGGGCGCTGGCTTTATCGGCATGCTTGTGAGCAGCTTTTTCTGCGGCAGCAGCGGCATGCTTACCAGCACCAGCTGCAGATTTCAGTGCATGTTGCTCGGCCTCGTGTTTGGACGCATGACCGAAACCTGTCTCATCATTTTGGTGATGAGCATGCTTGTCCAACAGATATTCACTGTCATGGCCATCATGCTGGTCAGCCCACGTCAGATCACCGCCTTGCCCTTCTTTTTCATGCCCTGCTGCATGGTGTAGTAACGCACTTCTTGAAACTCTGTAACTTTTATAGATAAGGCCACTTGTCACCGTACCAGTATTATTTTCATCCTTAAAAAAGAAGTGTGGCCGTTCACCAGTTTCACTCTTCCGATACTGCAGCAAACATTGTCACAAAAACTGCAGCAGACAAAATACTGCAGCAAACATTGTCACATTGTCACTACACAATCCCCTTATAAAATCGAATTCTTGCCACAGCTCAGCGAATTCTAACGATCGAAACCGTGTTTCAGAACAGATGGATTTGCTTCCTACGAACACAAATTTGGCAAATTTTCTCGCTAAATATATATGCTGCAGAATATTATCACCTAATCAGGAACGGGCAAGTCTTACGGAGGGAGAGCAATTTAGAGGCAGGCAACAATTCCTTCCAAAAATATCAGCAGTATTTACAAATATTTATTGTGTATACAATAAACACCACACTGTTAGGGAATTTTCATTTATATTATTAGCAATCCAGCATGTTTTTGTCAAACTGCAGTTATTAAATGATTT